TTTCCAGCTGTCTGTTCCACTGCCCTGTGTGTGTGCAAGTGTGTGTGTGCAGCAGGCAGGTGGCAAAGGCAGGTGGCATGGCAGGGGGGGGAGAAGGAAGAGAAGGCAGGCAAGGGCAGGGGAGGTAGAAGAAAGGGAAGTATATAGGGAAAGTGGGAAAAGTAAAAAAAAAAATTCAAAATCATGTCATCAGAATAATAAACCACACGATGGGATTGGGAGAGACTGGATGGAGGGATAGATGGACAGACAGACAGAGACACATAATAATAATACTTCAATTTTCTGCATCCAAGTCCGTCACTGGTCATTACTGTCACTATCATAATAAATGTGTAAAGTGCCATGCATGGCATGGTGCATGCATGCATGTGTTTTTTTTCCGATGTCGATGATTGATTGATCTTGATTGAGATGGATGATATATGCTGCTATGGAAGGTAGGGAGAGAGAGAGAGGAGAGAGAAAGGGAAGGAGGCATTATCATTCTATTCATTATTCATTATTTATTTTCATTATTACTTATTGCTTTTTGTATTAGGGAAGAGTGAGTTCACATTCCACTCTCCACCTTCTTCCTTACACTGGTGTTGTAGGTAAAGACCTGGCACTGCATCTTCCCACTCCATGATTTGGACAACAAGAACACATCATTCAACAATCAATAATAATAATAATACACAATAACAATAATACAATAATAACGAACAATAACAATATCCACCATTAAGATGTGGTTTTCACTTTCCTTAAAAACCCCTGCTCCACTTCTTCACTGCCAGTTCTTCCCAACCTCTGGCAACGAACAGATCTTTGTCTCCACAGTTTGCGATAACATGGTCGCATCAATTTACAAAATGCACCACTCTGGTGGGGATACATAGGGGGAGTTAGGGGGAGCGGCTATTTCTACACAATTTTCAAGGTGAACAGGATTGTCTCTAAAAAAAAGTCTTAAAAGAATAACAAAGCTGAGGGGCCGGGTGGCTCGGTTATATACGTCGACTTTGGCCTAGTCGTGACGGTGTCCGCAGGGAAAGCTGCCTGCATCATTGTTCAGGATAAATTGTGAGCCTGAGCCTGTTTCAGATTCTGTAGTCTCCTCTCTGACCCTCCCTGCTCATGTTTGTCTTCTCTCTGTCTCAAAATATAAAATAAATGTTAAAAAAACAAAAAGAAGAAATAAAAAGACTTTTGAGAGGTGTTAAAATGGGTCATCATGGTCACAAAGATATTCTACAGATCATCATTAGAACCCTGAGGATTCTTATGTTGCAAAAGCTTATAATACACATTAGGCTACCTGGCATCTGGTAATAAATGTACTATTACATAAAAAACCATAGTGCAGTGGCTTTTTTTTAAAAAATTTTAATACTATTTTTGAAAGAGACAGAGAGAGGCTGGAGTGGGGGGGGAGGGGCAGAGAGAGAGAGGGAGATACAGAAACCAAAAAGT